ATCATCTTTGGACCTTTACACATCACTCACAAAAATAAATGTTTAAAGAAGTGTAACTCTTACAAAGTCCTATACTTACTATGTGCTAGGCACCGTCCTGGGTGTCACAAGGACACGCCTTCAGGATGGAGTGGGGAAAGCAACACAGACTTTAATACAAGGGGACTTTGATGGGGATAGAAGTGCAACACTGGGGCTGGGAGTGGAGTTTGGGACAGGAAGGGCTACAGAGGTCATGGAGGCCTGCAGGTAGAGAAGTGAAGTCCTGTCGGGCTACAGGGACAGTCTGTGGCAGGGAGCCAGAGCTAGGGAGCCACAACACAGGGGAGAATGTCCCAGAGATTTGAGAGTGGCAAGGAAGGCCAGATCATGCAGGCAGTTCCCATAGGCAGAGGGGCCCAGCAGGAGTGCTAAGCTGTGAGCTCCAGGAGGACAGGCCTGCTTCATGCACGCTGTGGAGGACAGGGGAGAGCAGCTGAAAACTCTCAATACCAGAGTCGCCGTCTGTGGGTGCATGTGGTTCCTATGACAACAGCGGGACCAGAGGGCAACCATAAAAGATGAGCAAGAGCTCCTTGATGAGTCCTAGAATTTGAGGGAGCTGGGAAAGGCCACCTGGAGAGGTAGGTGAAAAGCTTGGCCTCACGGAAGTGCAGGCGGAGCTAGGAAGCGTCCAGGATGCAGCAGAAACATAGACCAGGAGCATCTCTACAGAGAGGGAAGAACAGCACAGAACCTCCAAAACACTCAGGGTGTGTGGAGCCCTCCCCCTCCAAGTGGAGGGCAGGAAGAGCCAAGGAGTAGAAAGCAGGCTGGGGAGGACTTTCTAGAACGGCCGAAGGGGGAGGGGAGGATACGGGACACATTCGCCACTCTTGGGCCATGATCTCCAAGGCTACTCACCACCTCAGTGCTCCACATTGTGAAGCTGAGTGGACATTTTACCAGACACCTCAGTGGTTGGCTTGGTCCATTCCAGCTGAAGGGTTATCTCCGGCAGTGGGTGGAGTAGGCTGTCTCCCTTGTCCCCTCAGCAGACCTGCTATGACATGGTCACTGGAGAGCAGCTGGGCTCTGGCACTCACATGGACTCCAGGGGGGCAGCAAAGATCCATGCATGTTGCATTATGTGTGAAGGGACACATTAACAATAACTGTCAGTTAACTGGCTAGAAACGCTGTTGGTAGAGAGATTTTAGTACACATTGACTCCCAGGTTCAGGTTAAATAATGGGCTGGCAAAGAATTCCTTGGAGCTTCCGGCCCAACTGGAGTACTGACTTGAATATTCTCTGGATGAAACACTGCTTAGCTGGAGGAGAGGAGGCTAGGGCCTGGGTGTGTGCAATGGGATTATCTCAGAATCTATACTGGTTGGCTCATAAGGGCAAACTGGGAAGACAGGGATGTGGGTAGATATTTGTGGGTCAGCCTGAAGCCTGAAGTTGGTGATCAAATATTTTTTTTACAATAACGGCCTTTTGGCATCTATGTCCACTTTGCCAGGGAAATCCAGTGTGGAAAATTCCAGATGTAACTAGTTACAAAGTTCTTCCCTCAGTTAAAGAACTTATTGCAGTCTTCCTTACATGGTGACTTAGCGTTACACGAAAATTCAACTCAGGTCCTCAGTCCATTACCTGGTCCCTAAGTGCAACCATCACCACTTCGGGAACTCTGACTCGGCCAGCTTTCTCTGTTCCCCTCCTTTACACAAGGTCCCTGCCTGCCTTTTTCTCCTCTTGCCGGATCCAGGAGGGCTTGTGTGTGTGTGTGTGCCATTTTAATATATTCAGTATTTCCTAAATAGACTGTACTTGTATGCAAGGTTAGTCACCTCCTTTATTAGGACATGGTACTAATTTGCTCATGAATAATGGCACACCATAAAAGCACACACCACACCGGGCACCCTATCTGACCTCTTCTGCTCCATGCCAGCACAACAGGCTCTAAACTGCAGCGGCTGCAGAAGCTGAGAGAGATAAACAGGGTGGCGGGTGGGGAGGAAGTTCTTACTCAAATCTAAATACAGCCGTGGCTTGCTGATCCAAGAGCTGAGATCACCGGGAGAGATTGCAAGCAAACTTTTCTGGGGCTGATTCTTTGGAGCAAACAGGTCTCGGCCTGCTCCTGCCACTCAAGGGACAGGTGAGGAGAGAAACAGAGGCATGGCCTGTGCAGGAAAACAAATACTGCTTTGGGTTTTAGCTTCCAAAAGCGTCAGTACTTCCTATAAAGTAGATCCTTTTAACCAGTCTTCAACTGGTTGTAAAGAAACTCAGTCAAGTTCCCCCTTTGCGGACTCCAAATGCACCCAGGAGCATGTTCTTGTGTGTAGCTAATGTGGGTTAGTTGTGGAAATCTCTGGCGTTTGCCAGCTGCTTCCCACATGCCGGTAAGTACCCAAACTATGGGAACGATGCAATACAAGGGCCTACAGAGGCAGGTGAAGCTGGGGTTGAGAGCCAAGGGGCCCAGGATGGTGTGACAGGGAGCTGGGGCATCATGGGGCTTCAGGGCAACATAAATCTCTAGCCATCACAAAAGGCTCTTCTGTAAAGGGGACAGGTTGAATGACACTTTAACAAGTTGATTTATTTAAAGTGCTTGGAATAGGGCCCAGCACATAAGACTCCGCTTAATAATAATCATCTATTAAAATCCATAGAAAAGGTTACTGCGAGAGAGACAACATGAGAGCCACTTTTCAGAGGGCTGCTCTTCTTCAGGGAACTGGGATTTTCTCTAAAGACTTGAGGCTGTTGAGGACAGCAATGACGGATGCAGCATTAATGCATTTTGACTTAGCGTAGTAACTCCGGGCAAAGGTGGAACTCGTGTGCTGATGATTTTACAACTGTCCAGACTATTACATGCAGTGCCCAGTGTGCTCACCTTATTTATTATTCCAATTTCCCCTCTGACCCAAGACAGTCTGAGGGACCGGTGGGAAAACATGAAAGGTGAGACTTCTGGAGAAAGCGTTCTGTCTCCTTCAAAGCCGATGGTCTTAGTTAAACTCATACTTTTTCTCAGCCACCTACTTAAGATGGTTGAGTGGCACTCACTAAGATAGGCCCACACTTGATCCCCTGCACCGTAAACTACACAAAATCACCCAGGAGCTCACTAAAACTACAGTCACATTTTACGTCCCTCTATAAATGTTGACTTGAAGCCTGTGGCTGCTGGGGTTTCATCTCTCCAGTTGGCCTAAATGGTTCTCATAGGTTCCCAGTTCTGCAGACAACTTTCCCTTGCCCTCTTCTCTTCCATCCTTACTCCTCACTTCCCTTCACAGGATGGAGCCATGTAAGCTCTCTAACACTGAGCTCCAACCCTTGGATCTTACCTTTCTACTAATCTAGGAAATTAAATTGAACCTAACACTATAACTGGGACTGGAGAGATGGCTCAGCTGTTAAGAGCACTTACTGTTTTTGCAGAGAACCCTTTTGGGTTCCCAGCACCCACAAGGCAGCTCACAACCATTCCTAACTCCAGTTCTGGGGAATACGACACCCTCTTCTGATTTCCTGGGATACCAGGCATGCACATAGTGTACATACACTCCCGCAGGCAAACCACTCACACTCACAAAGGTAAACTGGTAAACACATCTTTAGACTCACTGGGACAGAAGGCAGAAGAAGCCAGCAGACAGGTACTGGTAAGATCTGTGCCCTGTAGCTCTCACACAGCTGCATTCCCTTCTGGGTCTCTAGTTTCACAAACAAGATGGGGCAAGCAAAGAAGTTGTGATGAAAAGTGACTTTAAAAACCTTTGGGGCTTTATTGGCTTGGAATTCTGAATTCAGGGACACCGGATGAAAATGATGCGATTACTTCAGGCTCCAAGTCCACCCAGATCCTCTCTGGGGTGGTGAGCTGTCTTTTGAAGCCACTGACATGGTTCAGTGTTCCTAGACAGTAGATCTATTCCATGGACTTTCTAATTCAAGACTCTCTGGGTCAAGTTTCCCATGTAACACATGACCCCAGAAATGAAAACCAAGGGTAAAACATCACAGTATGGGCATAGGCTTACTGGGGTGGTCCCCACCGCTACCTCGACAGTTCTATGAAAACCAAGGCCAGTGGCACAAGACTGTCCCAGAAGGATGGGAGGCAGGGTCTAAGAAGCAAGCAGGAAAACCGGGAACTGGAAATACAAGAAGAGCTTGAAAGAAGGCAGAAGAAATGAAGGCAGAGGGGAAAGAAATGGCGGAGAGGACTGAGGCTGAGGGCTCCACCACCACACCTGGCAGTTGGCTGGCTCAGAGGCACGTGGGTGTGTGGCAAGGGGAGGGAGTATGGACACGAGGCAACAGTGCCTGGTTTGAGCATGGCTAGGTGTCTTGGTCTACACATAAATATCTACACTTGCAGGAGTTTTCATAAGGCAGTCCTAATGCAGAGCCTACTCTCAAGAGGACAGTTTCATGTCTTAGCTTCTCCATGCTTTGAACTTCCTGGGACCTCCTGATCATTATATACAAACAGGTCTACCACAGGAGATTCATTCAAAGGCAGGAGACAGAAATAAGTCTGATGAAACACCCAGTGCAGGAACTCCTGGTGACCTATGGAAGTTAGGGACTCACTGTCCCCAGTTGGTGTTGTCATCAAGGGGGGCCTGGGATCCTTGGTGGCCAGTACTCAGCAGAAGAGAGAAACAGCCTCCCACCAACCTGAAGCACAGCACAGCAAAACCCTCACTGGGGAATGCAGTCCTGTAATTCCCACTTGGCAGAAATGTATGGCTGGCTGCAGAACAAAAGGAGCCATCTGCATCCAAGTCACTGCCTCTTAATCCCTTAATTAGACTAAGTCCTTCAGAAGGAAGCACCAGCCAGTCAAGTGACTGAAGGAAGGAAACTAGAGTGAACACACACACACACACACACACACACACACACACACACACACACACACACACACACACAAACCCCTCTGTATTTGTATGGATGTGAATAAATACTCATGTTAAAGGCTCATAGTATAAGAATCTATTTGTTTATTTATTGAAAAGGCATGATCTAGAACATTCAAGTCAGTTCTCTCAGGAAGGTAACTTGGGGAAAGGTGGTGAGAAGATGTGCTGACAACCTGTGGGCATGTTAAAAGATGCTGAGCTGCCCAGGGTTCACTGTGCTCTGACTTCAGGCCAGAGCATCTGCTGTGTGCCAGCCCTGCAGTGTGCTGGCAGCTGAGTGGTCAGAGGCTCTGGCTGGTGTGAGGTCATCTGGAAGCTTTCTTCTTCTTCTTTTTCATGGGTGCTTTTTCTAGTGTGATGTCTATTTCTACCCATCCTGGCCTTTGCAGCTTTTTCTTTGCTTTCCTCTTCTTGGACTTTGGGGCATCATCCTGGCTGTCGGGTGACTGTACACAATCTTCTTCAGCGTCGGCAGAGGCTTCCGAGCACTCGTCCCCACTGGGCCCTCCAGGCTGCAGCTCAGGTCGGTCTCTCTTCTCGGCCACAGGCCCCTCACCTGCTTCTGCACGCTTTGTCTTCTTGTGTCGCTTGGCCTTGTGTTGGGGAGAGGTCTCCACACCTGTGAATGCCGCTGCTTTGGCTTTTGTCTTCTCCTTTTTCCACTCACCAGAGGTCTCTGAAATGTCAGACTCTGGAGCCGAGGCCTTTGACTTGTTTTTTAACTGGGCCATCCTCTTGGCAAAATATTCCTGGATGGTGAAGGCACTGGTTGTGGTAGTAGTCATGGAGGTGTCCACCTCATCTGCAATGGAAGTGCTGCAGTCATCCTGGGGGAGAAGAGTGGAAAGCAATTAGCATCACTCATTCATACCAGGGAGCAGCCAGGAGCCTCGTGGAGCCGTTCCTGCTGACCCTGACTTGCTGAGCCCAGAACAAGGGGGTGACACTGACTGAAAACCATGTGGGGAGAAGGCCAGACAGACTTCATCTGGCAGGTGATGTCACTGACTTCTGAAGAAACACCACTGTGAATGAGGAGTACGCCCAGAGCCTCCTGTAGACATCAGGGACCCGAATGTTCTGGAGCTTTGTGACTGATTCTGCAGGTCCTGTGCTGATCTAGAAACTGACATCGTGTGTACAGGGTATACTTGGTTGGCCATGCTCTGTGAGTGAAGCTCTCTGAATTATAAAGTAGCACATACTGAACTCGGAATTTTCTTGACACAGTAGCCCTCAAAAGTTTTAGTGGAACTGAGATTCATTCTGTTTGAAATTCTGGCAGAATCAACATTCTATTGAATTATAACTGGGCCTTAAATGGTCACTGCAGCTCAGAGTTCTCAAGAGTTCTCACCAAAGGGCATCAAATCAGTACATATCAAATCAACACTGCTTATATGTTCTCCAGTCCGTGGATCAAAAACAAAATCATGCAGTCTGTAAATTTTGAAATGTAAACAATAAAATGTAGAATGAGTGAGATAAGTGGGGAAGTTTAAATACTCTCCAAGGTGGCTGGTAAAACAGCTCAGTCATTAAGTGCTTGCTGCAAAAGCATGAGAACCTTAGCTCAGTCCCTAAAACCAACTGAAAGAGCCAGGCCCAATGGAGTGCACCTGTAACTCCACATGGGGAAGTCTAGACAGGCAGATCAGTGAGAGATCCTACTTCAAAAAGCTACTGCCGAGACCTACTGAGGAAGACACACACAAAAGAGCTGACCTTCTATTCTCTTAAGACGGGTGCTTCTCAGCCTTCTTAATGCTGCGATCCTTTAGTACAGTTCCTCATGTGATAAAACCATAGAATCAGACTCAAAAGAACCTTCATCCAGTGACTGATGGAAGCAGAGGCAGACACCCACAGCTAAACACTAATCTGAACTCCTAGAACCCAGTGACAGAAAGGGAGGAGTGATGGGCAAAGGGGTCAAGACTGGGCTGGTTTAACCCCCAGCAACAGCTGACCTGAACAAGGGGGAGCTCTTGGACCCCAGACTGATAGCTGGGAGGACAGCATGGGACTAATCCAGACCCCCTGAATGTGGGTGTCAGTGAGGAGACCTCAGCAATCTTGGGTAGTATCTATCCCTGGCACACAAATTGACTTTGGTGTCCATCCCACAATGAGGGATGCTCTCTCAGTCTGGACTCTTGGGGGAGGGCTTAGGCCCTGACCTGGATGAAATGACAGACTCTGGAGATCCCCCATGGAGGGCCTCACCCTCCCTGTGGATCAGAGTGGGGATTGGGAGGGGGGCGGGGGAAGAGGGGAGGGAGAGGGAGCTGAGATTGACATGTGAAACAAGCTTGTTTCTAATTTAAATTAAAAAACCCTATAAATTATTTTTGTTGCTACTTTCTAACTATAATTTTTACTGTTATGAAACATAATGTAAATATCAAGTTTTGCTACTGTTATGAATTGTCATGTAAATATCTGTATTTTCTGATGATCTTAGGCAACCCCTGTGAAAGGGCTGTTTGACCTTAAAGGGGTTGTGACCCACAGGCTGAGGCCCTCTGTCAAAAGACTCATACTGTGAATCTCATACTATTTGCTTATACCAGAGCAAACACATATGTGCTTACATACACACAAACACACATACACAACTGTCAGTCAGCAAATTTTGCTGGCATTTCATTAGGTCATACTGAAAGAAATAAAATTAGCTGTCTTAGGACTCCAAAACCAGGTCACTTAGTCTTTTTGCTCCTCACATTTTGAGTGAGGGCTGGAATTCTGCATGACAGAATGAAACACCTTCTTAAGGTTCTTGGTATTTGCCAATGCCAGGCTGATGGACAAGAAAGATCTTGCCTCCCATGTGAGTGCACACACCCATAGCCATGCATAGACATGGGCACTGGGAAGGTGGCCCACTAATGTAACAGAGGTCTCATTGATGGCTGCCTGCCGGGTGTGAGCTGCTCTTCTTTGAGCCTGTGTGAGTTTGGGACTAATGCTCAGGCAGTATAGCCTATGGCTCCTCCTTGTTCCTTTACTTATTACCTGTAGAATTCCTGTTTTCAATAGTTTAAAAGCAGGAACTGGCTGCCGGTGTTAATCATCCTTAGTTATTAGGAAACACAAGACCATTTCTGAGTCACTTGCTCAATCTCCTGGGTCTCTAATCCCCAGGAAGCATGGTCCTAGGCAACTCCTATGGTGGGGAGACGCTGAGAACTTGGGTACACCACTCAGCTCAGTCAGGCAGAAGAGAAGTGCTGAGTGACAAAGTCCCTGTGAGAACTGTGGGGACAGCCACCTTCCCTCACGATGGGAAATCTATCTTTTAGTAAGGCTTTTAATAGGCTGGCAATCTGATTCCTGAGGCAGCAATGCTCAGGACTTCCATTCTACACTGGTAATTAGAAACAGGTTTCACTACTGATTAAAACCTTGGTTCTGTAAAACACAGAATCATATGTACCTTTATAAGAAAATGAGTATTTTCAAATCTGGTTTAATTTCAAAACAGTTACGTTTTCAAAAAAGTTAGAAACAATTTGTGTCTTTTTACATTTCCATTAAAATACATGACACAACCTCAAAGAAAACCCACCATACTTAAACGTGACTTTCACTACACTGTAAACTTTGAGAATGTTTTAGTTTTATGGTGGTGTTTTAAAAACTGGAAACAACCTAGATGCCCCTCAACAAAAGAATGGTTAAAGAACATGTGGTATATTACTCATCGGAAAAAAAACAATGACATCATGAATTTGCAGGCAAATGGTTGGAACTAGAAAAAACCATTCTGCATGAGGTAACCCAGACCCAGAAAGACAAACACAGCAAGTACTCCCTCATAAGTGGATATTAGGTGTAAAGCAAAGGATAACCAGGCAACAATCCGCAGTCCCAGAGAAGCTAAGCAACAAGGACCCTAAGAGGAACGGATGGATCTCCCAGGGAAGAGGAAATAAATGAGATGCTCTTGGTAACCTGGGTGAGGGGGGTGGTAGACAGGAGGGGATCAGGGGATGGGAACATGAGGGATCAGGATGATAGAACTGGGGGCTAAATGGAGGGGGGTAATGAAAGAGATATCTTGATAGAGGGGGCCAATATGGGGTTAGGGAGAACACTGTGTCAAAACCCCCAAGGTTTGTTCTTGAAGGGTGGGTTGTGGTGGGAATGGGTGTCTGGAACTAGTGACCAGAACTCTCGCAGTGCGGATTTCCAAGGTCCCACTCTAACACCCTGAGCTTTACCAGCAGTAAAGACATACAGGGAGACATACAGATGTTCTCCTGGGCTCAGGGAGGAAAAGGTGGAAGAGTGTGTGTATACCCAGCTTTCTGCATACGTTTCATGCCATACGTAACTGCACATGACCAGAAAAAGGTGCTCTCCTATAATATGGGGACTTCCTAAGAAAGGGCTCAGGGAGAGGGCAGGGGGACAATAGAATTAACACTCTACACTGTCCTACTTTCCATTTTATTCACTATTAAAAAGAAATGCTCACACAGAGCAAACGCCTGATATTTTCTATGTATTTTTGAAGTCTTTGAGATACTGCATGAAGCAGGTTCCTGGTTAAGCTGGCTAGCCACAGAAAGCCTCTGGTTTTCTCACTTTGTTAGAGGTGCTTAGTGTAGTAATTTAAGAAAAGCGGCACATGAGAGAAAGATGCCATGTGACAGGGTTCAAGCAGAAGGATCTTTTATTAGGGAAAGGGAAGGGAAGAGACCAGCCTCTGGGGACAGGAGCAGCTGGAGAGAAGAGAGAAGAAACAGGGGGAGAGGGAGGGAGGGAGGGAGGAAGAGAGAGGGAGGGAGGAAGAGAGACAGAGAGAGAGAGAGAGAAGGAGGGAGGGAGGGAGGAAGAGAGAGAGAGAGAGAGAGAGAAGGAGGGAGGGAGGGAGGAAGAGAGAGGGAGGGAGGAAGAGAGACAGAGAGGGAGAGAGAGAGAGAGAGAAGGAGGGAGGGAGGAAGAGGGGGAGAGAGAGAGAAGAGAGAGAGAAGAGAGAGAGGGAAGGAGGGAGGGAGGGAGGATAGGAGGTGGGCAGGGCCTTTTTAAAAGGGAACATAGAGAAAATAGAGAACGTGCACAGATGGTTCTCTTAGTGGCTGCAGCTGAGGGTGTATCTTGTCAGAACCCCAAGGACAGGCCAGTGCAGATGCCTGAATACTAACATTGAGTATACAGGATTTTGTAATTTGTCAAATTAGCAAGTGAATTTCCTTTACAAAAACTGGTTTTGTTTTGTTTTTTCCCTTTAGATTGGGTCTTGCTTAGGCTGGTCTCAAACTCATAATACTCCTGCCTTATTGGGAGATAGCATTCTATAAATATGTGTCTGATTGGTTTGAATAAAGCACTGTTGGCCAATAGGGAAACAAGATAGGTGGGACTAGGAGTCTAGGAGGATTCTGGGAATTGTAGTGAGGAGAGCTCTCACCGTGTGATCTCCCAGGAGCAACGGGTGCTCAGAAGTGCGTCCTCAAAAAGATAAGTTCTTATAAAATATATTAGTAATTATGGGTTAATAATTAAATCAGAGCTATCCAATAAGAAAGCAAGCAAACATCCAACATAGTGTCTTGTGTGCTATTTGGGGGCTGAAAGAAGCAACAGAAACCAGGCGGCAGGTAGGAAGAGTACAGGTTACACAGCCTTAGCCTTAAGAGTGCTAACATTACAGGTTTACAATACCACATTGGGCTGAAATCTGACTATCTTAGAAGTTCAACTCTCCCTTGGGCATTTGCAGTGTTGCCTACTCCATGTTAACACGCTTGAGGTCTTTGACTTGGTTTCCTCATCAGTAACCAGTAAATTCAAGTGCTAGGAGGGTGCACAGACTATG